TTCATGTGTTCTACCATGTTAAGGCCTATCCAGTCAAGCATTTGTACCCAGATATCCCTCAGTGCAAGTTCATCCACTGAGATTAATCAGCCTGCCTAGAGTCACTCCCTTAAAGAAGATCAACTCTCCCTCATCCTGCAATAATCATTTGCCAAAAGTTCCTTGGCTAAGGTTGGGTCCTGCTGCCCATTTCCCCAGTTCTATGCTTGGGGATTTTCTCATTCTTGAGAAAACACTTTGGTTCCCACACTGGATGACAGTACCCCAAATCTTGTCTGAAGTAAGGAGGTCATTTAGGATGACATTCAGCTCCTTTCCAGGTCTTTCAGAGGATATACAGTTGGTACCTTTGAGCAAATTGATATTGTCATGACTGAGACAGAAGGAGATAGGAAGTTCACAGGCTGAAGATGTGTAGCTCAGTGGTAGAGCATTTTCCTACCACATACAAGGTTTGATGCCCAGAACCACCAAAGCAAAAGCAAAATAAGAGGACCAGGTAAAGATGGGGTGCACTGAATTTAAGGTTCTACTGTATCAGGCCTTCTGTTACACTGGTTACAAATTAGATAAAAAACTGAACTAGAGGTGCTGGAGAGATGGCTCAGCAGTTAAGAACACTGGTTGTTTTTGCAGAAGACTAGGGTTTGAATCCCAGCACCCACATGGCAGCTAACAGCTGTCTGTAACTCCAGTCCCAGGGGATCCAACAGCCTCTTCTTGACCTCCATGGGCATTGCATGAAACGGGTGCACTTACCTACATGCAGGCAATACACGAATACACATAAAATAAAAATAATAAATAAGGGCTGGAGAGATGGCTCAGCAGTTAAGAACACTGGTTGTTTTTGCAGAAGACCAGGGTTTGAATCCCAGCACCCACATGGCAGCTAGCAACTGTCTGTAACTCCAGTTCCAGGGGATCCAACAGCCTCTTCTGTCCTCCTTGGGCATTGCATGACACAGGTGCACTTACCAAATGTAGGCAATACAACATACACACAAAAATAATAAATAAAATATATAAAAAATAGTAAATAATTTTTTTAAAGTTAAAAAAATGAACTAGAATTAGTCAACTTGACAGGGTCTGGAATCTGGGAGATGCGCCTCTGTGCTGTATATGGGGGATTATCTTATCGATTAGAGTGGGAAGACCCACTCAGATCCTGGATTTTGTAAGCTAAGAAAGCAAGCTGAGCGCTGGTAAGCATTCATCCTCGTTTCCTGAGTGTGAATGTGATGCGTCCAGTGGCTTCAAGCTCTGCTGCCTTGACTTCTCCATGATAGATTGTACATTGAACTGTGAGCTAAAATAAACCTTTCTCCCTTAAGTTGCTTTTGTCAGAGTATTTTATCACAGCAACAGGAATAGAAACTAGGACACCGGTGGAGCTATTTGCCTTATTTTATAGATGAAGAGACTGAGGACAGACAGGTTATATTTCTTGCTCAAGGTCACACAGCCCTAGGTGCACAGCTTGGGTCTGCTATACCCAGGCCTGCCAGATTCCACTTTTCTGAATTAGTTGTTGTTTTTAGACAGGTTCTTTCTATGTAGGCTGACCTTTCCCAGGCTGACCTCAAACTCACAATCCTCCTGACTCTGGGATTATAGGCACATGCCACCAAACCAAGCCAAGCCTCTGCTCTTGATCACAGCCTGTATCGCAATCTCCTGCCCCTATCTGTCTCTTACCAAAGCTCCTTTTGCTCCTTGAGTCTTCTGGAGGCCAGCCTCACTTCTTTGTGAGTGCTCCTGTTTCTGGTATTGATGGTTGGTTCCCTGTTGAGTTTTGGGCCTCTTGGACATCAAAACTCACTGATATAGGGCAAAATCAGCAAAAATCATAGGCTTCCAGGATCCTGCTACCAGAGATTTATAGGTGTGGCAATATTTTAGGATCCCAGAGTTCAGTTTAGGAACTAACCTCCCTTCCTGGGGTGTTACTCTATTTCCATTTCCATTTTTATTTTTATTTCGCTATACTGAGAATGGAATATGGGGTCTTGCAATGCTAGGCCAATACTCTGCTGCTGGGTCTTTTTTCTACTTTTTATTTTTGAGACACAGGAACTCACTAAGCTGCCTAGGCTGGCCCTGTAGGTCAGGTAGTCCTTGAACTTGTGACCCTCTTGCCTCAGCCTTACCTTTAGCTGAGATTATAGGCCTGTGCCACCAGGCCTGGTTCACTTATGTCTCTCAACTCTTCCTGTTATGCCAAGGAAAAATGAAGTGACTGAAGTTTCAGAGAGTAGAACAGCATTTAAAATTGACCTTTGCTGAATGCCTAGGGCTCACAGTAGAGCAAATATGTTGGAGTACTGGTTATGGGAAGGGCATGCTCAGTCGGAACAGCAACTGCGCTGACCCCTTTCTCTTTCTCCCCCATAGACCCTTCACTCTATTCTTAGAAGTCCCTGAGGACACAGAGCCTCTGGTGTTGACAAAGTGACAGAACTCCTTTGTTAGACAGGGCCCACTGGAATCAGAGCTTATTCTCTTGGGATGGTGCTCCGGGATTCCAGGAAGCAACCGGTCCCTACCTCTTCTACTAGGAAGTGACTCATAGTCCTTGTGTCCCTAGTACAGGATTCCTTCCTAATCACTTCAATCCTTCCTTCCTTCCTTTTTTTGAGACAGAGTCTCATGTAGCTTGGGGCTTGCTGTGATCTCACTGTATAGCTGAGAATGACCTTGAACTTTTGATCCTTTTGCCTCCACTCCTGAAGGCTGATTACTGGCATATACCACCATGGCTAATTTATGTGGTGCTGGAGTGTTAGGGATCAAATCCAGGACTCTGTGTACTTGAGGCAAGCTACACCCTCAGTCCCATCACTTGAGTTTTGCCTATTTCTTCAGCTACTGGTTTTCTTTATCTGGCCAAGAGAAGCACATCTGACTTGGACTAACAGCTAATCGCAAGTCCTGTGAATGAATCCAGCCAGTTACAGGGGCATGGGGAGAGGTCAAGAGAAGCCACAGGGAGCACAATGACACGGTCTGCAAATCTGTTTCTTCTTCCTTAGCCTCTCTGTAACCTTCAGGACTTCTTTGTCCCTTTCCCTAACACATACATACCAGTGACTTCTCTCTGGCTCTTTTCCTACCACTAATAAAGGTAGGAATTTCTTGGCTCTAGACCAAGGGCCTTGGAGATCCAAGTCAGATTTTTGAATCTGGCTGATTCTGTAGGGACCCTGGAAGAAAAGGCTCTGGGGGCTTCCAACTGCCAAGACTGACAAAGGCCTGCCTTTTCATCCCAGACACTGAAGCTGGCTCTCTTCCCCATGAACAGCTTCTAGAATAAGCATGTTTACCCCAGCCTTGAACTTGAGTCTGACTGCCAGACTGAGCTGCTGCTGGACCAGTTACTGAAAGGGTATATCCTTTCTCTCTGAACTCTCCAGCTGTCATGTCAAAGGAATAGCTCACTGGCAGAACAAAACACTTTCCTCAAATAGCCATCTTTGCACAACCAAATTGAAGTGTATCTCATTGAGAAAATCCCATAATGATAATTTATTAAAAAAACAAAAAAACACCCCAGAAAACTTTACCTACATGACTGATACATACACTAGGAAGAATTTGGTCCAGTGAGAGTGCAGTTTTCTTTAGGCACTCTTCAAAGAAGTATATGGGGTTTAGTAGGGAGATAAGATGTCAATTTAAGGTAGAGATGAAGAGCTGGGCATGGTGGTGCATGCTTTTTATTCCAGCGCCTAGGAGGCAGTCAGGTAAATCTGTGTTTGGAGGTTAGCATGGGCTACATAGTGAGTTTTAAGTCAATCAAGGCTACATATTGAAACCCTGACTCAAGAAAACAAGAATAGAGATGAAGAAATTTCCTGAAACTAGGATGTGATGATAAAGAATCTGGATTATGAAAATCATCCCCTTACTATTATGACAGGATATATTTGCATGGCCAAAGGCCAATATCTGAGTGAAGTTCCTACCTTCAGAAGGCTAATTAATTAGCCAAGTCCATAGGGGTTCAAGAAAGGGGCTAGATCACATGAAGATTCAAAGTCCTTGCCTCTCCACTCCTTTCTTGTTAACTAAATAGGTCTTGGAGTGCTCAAAGGTGGTCACTAAGTGAAGATGCACATTGGACTACTACAGTCTGTCAGCACTCAGCCCTGAATCACTGTACAGACCTGCTTGCTCCAGAGGGGCAAGAAATGATCCATTTACCTGCCAGGGCCAAGTCAGAGGTGGAGAGATTTACAGATCCACATGGGTGCAAACTGTATTCTTTCAGGTACAAGACTCTTTAAAGAGGAAATGGAGAGGATGCCAGACTGAGTGCTGGATGTTTCAGAGCAGAGAGGGGGAAGTGATTATCAGCCCATGGACAGACTAAACTTCCTGTGCACTAGTCCTTGAAGAATAATAAAGTAAAAACCTCTATGGTCCCCCCTATGTCCTCAACCCAGGTCTCTCCCGACAGGGCCAAATTTACAGATCCCCTGAAGAGCAGAAACAAACACCCAAGACTGGACAGATTAATCAGCAACTCAGTGAAATAAAACTTCCTTCATTCCCAAGACAAAAATATCACAAGGAACACAATTCCTCTAACTGTATTCAGAATCAATAAAGACTAAAGTGTTTGGAAAGCCTCCATTCTCTGTAAAATATAGGCACCCAAAACTTTTCCATTACACAAAAGTCAGAACCTCAATTTGCTGTCTAATGGTAATGTCATTTGGATACTTGTCCTGTCTTCCTTACATGCCTCTTAGTGCTCAACATTGTCTGATGCACCGCCAGTCCTTCATGGGGCTTCATGGCAGGGTTAGGGTAAACCACTATTACAGTCTGGTGCCTTCCAACCACCCTTTCCTATGGCACCCACCCCAACACTGTTCTTCCCTCCCTTGCCAGCCCCATATTGGAAAATGTATACCTGAGGAAGTAGTATTTCAATAATTTTTCTACCATCACAGTGAACTGATGAAGCTTCTGCGGTATTAAGCAATCCATCATAACATTTGTGACTGGTTAACTTTAATTTGTCAAAATAAATCTGCAGTATTTTGCATGTTAGTAATACAGTGCTGGTATTGACAGGTAAAATCATCTGCTTACATAGAAACCTTCATTTAGGAGCACACCTTAGGAGGGAAATACACAATAAAAGGCAAATGCAGGCCAAGCAGCGAGCCCTAGAGCATAACAGGCTGGATGTCAGATTTGAGGATTATCTAATACAACTGTTTAGCTGCCAATCTGATAAAGGGGAAGCTCTCAACCAGGTTACAACCAGGAGGGAAAACATACTCTGCCTTTCCATAGAGCGGTGGCCGTCGTGCCTTCAACATATGGTTGAATCAGTTCATCAGCATCACAACTCAATTTCAGTTCCAAAACACAGGAGTTTTACCACACAACCTGTCCATGCCCCCTTTGCAGTGGCCTACCCTCACCCCATCCTGCCATCAACTCTCTCCCTCCCCAAAGAAGACACAACGTGGCTTTATTATTGCAGACAAGCTTCTTAAGTGAATAAAGAATGCATACAAAATAGTATTTTAACTAAAGTCATACAGTGAAGTCTCACTCCTGTTTATTATACAATGAATTGATAAAACAATCATTTCTAATATATATCTTTTTTTCTGTAAGAACTAATACTTTCAGGATTCTGATGACCATGCTGTAGCCTGGGGGAAGGGCCCACACCTACCCTCATCAAGGATTGCTCCTTGGACCACTGTGGAGGAAGCCTGGGCTGTCTGAACCATGAAGAATCATGATTGCCAGCACAACAGAGACAGGGCCCAGCAGGCACAGCCAGAGCCCAGCCTTGGGTCTATATGCCAGGAAATGTGGGTTTCCTCCACATAGGCCACTCTCAGCAGGGCCATTCCCCAGCCTTCTACACAAGTCCTTCCAGTAGTCCACACATAATGATTTACACATTAAAGACAGACTGTTTCTGTACTGTGGATAAGAACTGTTGTAACAAAGTCATAGCTACATATTTTTCTCTACATTTTGTTTATTGAGACAAACTAATTAAAAGGCACAAACATAGGGCATGTTTACATGGACATTATAACAAACATATACATTAAAAGTGTAGGAATGTGTTGCCTTCCTGCTAAACAGAAAGTTCCTAAGCTTTTATATATACAAAAGTTGTACAATTTAATGTCCTAAAGTACAAAAGATCATTTATAAAATTATTTTACACTAAGTACTATTTATTTTATTTTTTTACTATGTAGTTCAACCCCCTAGAACTGTTTTGTATAATGACACACAGATACCTGTCCCTGATGTAGGAAATCTGCCTCAGATGCAAGGTATTTTGATGTTTGTACTGACAAAGTAGGGTATAAATGGAAGTCATCCAATTTGATAGTCCTGCAAGCATTCTGCAGGATTAACACAACTCATTTCCACTTCTTTTAACTGCAAGATTAAACAATGAAAAAGACCAAAACATTGCAACATAAAAAAAATAAAATAAAAATTACAGCGGCTTGGTTTTATTGAACTCTTCTTTAACACAATGCTTTGAACACATAAATGTGTGGCATGATGGTATAAACAGTATGTTTCCCTAGCTTTTGGTTTCTACCTTATGTACAGAGATAAAACATCCTGCTAAGAAATAAAAAGCACATGTCTCAATGTGCACCATCATTGCTGGGTTTCCATGGAGCATGTAGACAGCCTCCCTGAAAACACCATAAAGTGGACACAAGTGTTTTTTCAAAGGAAAAAAAAAAGTGATGTCCATATTTACAAAGTTGAACAAATCTGCACAATACTTGATTAAACGGAAGGAGGGGGAAAAAAGATACACTCTGCTTGTTCTGAAGGGGCATACTACCTAGTTAGTGGTTAGAATAAAAACTGTATACAATTTAATATAAGACATAAACTCTAGTGAGCATCTAACACATCTGTGCCTATTGTAACATCAACAGGCTTTGATTGGGAGAGAGAGGGGCATATCACATCCCAGTGCCTCCAACGTCTTCCAATTTAAAGCAATATATTTAAACTGTTTCAAAGTATTCCCTGGCTCCTGAACAAGGGTCTCACTGGCCTGTTAGGAGCCTGCCAGCTTGCACATCTGACTTCTCTGTCAGTTGCAGCCTTTTCTTGTCAAAACACAATTTGCTTGTTTTTTTTTAAGATTTTTTTTAAGGGTTTTTTTTTTTTTAAAAAAAAGTCAACTACAATGCTATATTCCATCAGGATTAATATGCTGAGCAATATTTACATCTCCAAATATCAGGTCACAATCCCTATTATATGTTGAAGTTAGAATGATAAATTATCATATGCTTTGCATATCAGAGCTGGTATCACCTTTCCCATAGGGAATGCTGCCTGAAATTAACATATTCCCAAAGGTAAAATGCATATTCTCTGAAATGCATTTTATTATGACAATGTATCTACTTATTCATAAAAACAAAAAGACAGACAATTCTACACTAGCTCTCAATCTGTGGATTTAGAACTTCAGGTTAAAATCAGCCATCCACCCTGTATAGAAAAAAAGAGTTTTGCTAGTGTTTAGAATAAAATGATTTCTTAGAAGTAAAAACAATAATGCAGTTTTTCATTTTGAAATGGGTTTTGCTTCTGTTATGATTGGTTTTAATTCTGGCATTTCACCTTGCCAGCTACTGTCCTGTTTAAGCAATGCTGTCAGCTAAAAGGAATTTCTGATTAAACTAAAGTGGTCCAGTGATAAGTTACATGTACACCCTACTTTGAACAATCCCAGCCAAATTGGAGCAAAAATACTACTACATTCTTATTAACTAATGTAATAAAACCTCCCAATTTTATAGCTTGCTTTTGCTTTAATCAACTAAAAGAAAGCTGCTGGTAAATGTTTACTTTAACCCATATTTTGACTTTATAATACTGTTTACCAAGGTGGTGATGTAGGCAAAGCTTGGGGCAAGAAAGGCATGCTTTCTACAGGTCTCATTGCTATATTGAGAGGGGCAGCTAATGTCATGGGCGTGGGCAGGTTCATTGGAGATGTGATTGTGACAGGGTGTGCTATATTCACTGGGGCAGTTACAGGGGTTGGGAGGTTGACTGGGGTAGTGAGTGTTAAAGGAGAGGTCATGGATAATGGGCTGGTTATAGTTACAGGATGCCCTATGTTCATTGGGCTGGTTATATTAACTGCACTTGAAACATTGACTGGACTTCTCATGCTCATTGCAGCTGCCACTGTGACTGGGTTTGACATAGTCCCAGATGACACAGAGGACGTTATATTGAATGGAGTAGTGAGAGTCACAGGTGTCGTAGCAGCCGTAGAGGTTTGGCACAGGTTGGCAGCTTCTAAAATGAGAAGACAAAAGAGCCTTTAAACTTTCAAAACTATAAGCAAAATTCACAGTTTTTGAATTCTTTTAATTAAAAAGGACAAACATTTAATTAATCAAATTACAGTTTCTACAAAGTGATCAACTGGAAGAGGATTCTTCAGAGCACAAGTCTGAAAGCTGGGGACCCCAGTGTGCAAATCTCTTCTCTGATGTCTATGCAGTCTTATGCAACTTTTTCAGCCCTGCACTTTGGGTTTCAAATTCAGATTTATTTACCTACCTTACAGTGATGTTGGGAGGATCAGTTAACTTGTGCAAGGCACTCTGGGGAACAGAGATACGGAGTAGGGCTAAGTGTTCTCACTACCACTTCATGCAGTTCTTCTGAGTTCTAAAGACTTTCCTGGGAAGAGCCAACTGCCAGCAGGCCAGGCGAAAAGAGCTTGTTTACACAGAGCTGGGCCAACGGTTACACAATAACAGATAATCAGAAAAATCTTCTCTTAAGGCACACTGTAACTAGCAGAAAGAGGTGTGTGTACTCAGTGCCACAGTCTGCTAAGGTTTTAAAAATGCATAATTAGCACCGGGTGTGATGGCACATGCCTTTAATCCCAGCACTCAGAGGCAGAGGCAGGTAGATCTCTGTGAGTTCAAGGCCAGCCTGGTCTACAGAGTGGTTCCAGGACAGCTGGGGCTACAGAGAGACCCTGTCTCAAAAAGACCCTCCCCCCAAAACAAAAAACCCCAGCATAATTAAAGAATGATAAACAAGCGTTTTAGCACCTATTTGAGTCAAAGAAAAACCTTTCAGGTTAAATAATCCTAATAGTTCATGAAGGAAAGTTACAACTCAGTTTGTGTTCTCTTTTCACCCCACTTCCTCTTCTTTCTAATGTTGATATAATCACTGAGTTTATGCCCAACATCATTTAATTACACATATCACATATACCACCAAGCATACCAAGGAGGGCTAACTGGGCAAGGAAACTCTGCAGTATGCTGGGGGGACCCTGGTCCTTGTTAACTAGCAATGCCCGAATATTTGTTTGTTTATTTGAGACAGGATCTCTCTATGTAGCCCTGGCTGGCCTGGAACTCAAGAGATCTGCCTGCCTCTGCCTCTAGGGTGCTGGGATTAAAGGTGTGGATCACCATGCCTATCTCTGAACATTTCTTAAAAGAAAAGATCCCTGGATGGTGGCACCTACAACCCACCCCTCAACAAAATTCAGCACCACCTACTGGTGTGCCATAAAATGGCAGTAAGGAGACAGGTCAGTGAAACCCATTCAAATCTAAAGCTGGAGGTCTATACATGGTCCACAGAGGGCCAAATAATCTCAGGTAGCCCAGAGTCAGGAAACAGCCCTTCTTTGATCAGTATGACATTATTAGGCTACTACTTACCACGAATTCCCAAACAAGGCTGATGATCAAAACCATTGAGGGAGGGTTTATTTTTTTAATGGATTCCTGAGATAGTCACAGTGAAAGTGAGATGGAACCTGGGAAATCTGTAAAGTTAAAACACTCCCTCAATGATGATCTGATTTTCACCCAGGTGTGGGACCTTAATTTTATTAAGGTCTAATATTTTAAAGGGACACTACTGATTCAAGTTTAGATTTTCATTAGGTTTTCAGTACAGCGGTTTCCTCTCTCCCAAAATGTGATGTTTACTAACATGGAACAGACATTTCTAACATCAGTGGTCCTTTGGAGAGAGACTTAGGCTACAAATGGAAACACAATAGCATTTTTGTTTCATGACAGAAAATGAACAAAACAATAGTCTTATTGTGTAAAGCAAACTAAAATACAATGTGAAACAGAAGAGTGCAGAAAGAGTGAGTGAATGGGACAGAACACCAACTAACTCACTCCCTAGCTAGTACTCCACTGCTAAGGCAAGGCGCCTCTTACTGTATTCACAAAAAGGAATTTTTATCTTTTGTACCATTTTTCTACCTTCCCTCCAAGGTCTTTTTACTGACAGTGGGTTCTGTTTTTCAGTGCTAAGGATCAAAACTTTGATGCTGCACATTCAAGACAAGTGTTCTACCACTGAGCCATACCCCCAGCCCAAACAGCATCCCATTATTAAGATTTAAAACACTTTTAGTCCCTCTCTAATGAAAATATCCTTCATAATATGCTTTCAACCCAGTATACAATTATCCTAACATTACATTTTTTTTTCCATTCCCTACTGCAAGTTCCTACTATTCTCCCCATTCCCCACCATTTTACCATTTTATCAAAATAATGACAAATCTTTATTTGGAAGATAGGACTACGATGCTCTCTTTTAGGCCAGGTGTCAGGGCATATGCCTTTAATCTCAGCCCTTGGGAAGCAGAGGCAGGCAGCTATCTGTGAATTCCAGACCAGCCAGAGCTACTAAATAATATCCTGCCTACAAAACAAACAAACAAAAAAACCTTGGATAATGCTAGTAGAGATATGAAAATAGGTGCTGTTCCTTTTATTTTATTCAAACATAGGATATTTAGAAGGGAACTGAGGAAGGGAACAGTTGGAACAACTGCACTATATGAAAGTAAAACATGGGAGAAATCACACAACCAAAGAATTATATATGGAGGACTCTACATGCAGAAAAATCCATTAGAATCTAAAAGAAAGCAGTAGGACGTGGCAGGGGTGGGAGAGGAAGGAATGAATATGGGAGTCTGTACTACAGGGCTGAGAGCAGAGAGGAATGATTTATTTGAAATGGCTGCACAACAACACAGAAGGCAAAGCTGGAACTAGTAAATCAAAAAGTATGTTGAGGGTAGAAAGAATGTTGAGTTGGCAGATGGGGAGGAATGCTGTGAAATGCTGCTTTCTGAACATGACATGGCTGCTGCTCTCATGAACTCACTGCACAAGACCTGCACAAGATCAAGCCAACATTCTAGTAGGGAGCACTAACTGGACCCAGTGGGTTAAAAAAAAGGCGCAGGGGGGCCCACAAAGAGGGGGGCATTGGGGGGGTGTTGGAGGAGTTGCAGTTGGTGTGATCAAGATACACTGCATACATATAGGGAACTATCAAAGAATAAATAAAAGATAAAATGTTGAGAATTGCAGCTGGGCATGGTGGTACACGCCTTTAGTCCCAGCACTCAGGAGGCAGAGGCAGGTGGATCTCTATGAGTTCAAGGCCAGCCTGGTCTACCTAGTGAGTTCCAGGCCAGCTGGGACTTCAAGGAGACCCTGTCTCAAAAAGCCAAAAAAAAATTGAGAATTGATGGACATGTCAATTTATTCTTTATAAGATTTACATACAGAAAAGCAAACCATTCTCAACTTTTTAAAAATTAAAGCCCCTAACAGCAGAAGTGCAGACATGTTAAGCTAAGCCCTGTCCTATGTTAAACTAAAGGAGATTAAAGGTTCGACCAAGAGAAAAGACAGCAGGACAGTGAAGCCTGAATCATGCACCAAATCATCAATGCAGAGAGAACACTAAAAAGCAGAAAATGACTGTTAACAGAAAATGAATTTACATACACACAAAGATGTTTCATCTACCTCTTAAAGTGGGAATATTTTAGAATTATTTATTTATTTTTTTTGTCTTTTTGAGACAGGGTCTCCCTGTAGCCCCAGCTGTCCTGGAACTCACTATGTAGACCAGGCTGGCCTTGAACTCACAGAGATCTGCCTGCCTCTGCCTCCTGAGTGCTGGGACTAAAGGTGTGCACCACCACGCCTGGCACTATTTTAGAAATTTTTTAAAAGCCCATAATACAAGGAAACTGACATAAAAATGGAATTATAAGAATACAAAATTTGGCTGCAGATGTGTAACAAAAAGTAAATCACAAGAAAGGAACTGGTAAGAAGTACTGTGACTTTTACTTCCCAGTAATAAAAACCTAAATGGGGGCTCTGTTGCCAATAAATTAAACCTTACCAGATAGTCTCTAGTATGCAGTGCTTACTTAAAGCTAGATTCCTCAACTTGTTTATCCTCATTGATCACTTCGCGCACTAAACAATACTTCTCAGGCACACTTGAGCACTGGAAGCCCCTCCTCACCTTTCTTTCTTGCCTTGACAGCTTCTTCCCACAGTCTCAGCGTCTCTACCTGCTTTCCTGGCCAGCTTGTCACATGTTGCTGCTGTTGCTGCTGCTGCTGCTGCTGTTGCTGCTGCTGCTTCTGATTGCTGGTCTCTTCACTCATGCATGCTATTCCAAAGACAAACCACAAACACCGTATTTACCTTAAAAAAGTATGGCCACGTTTTCAAAATCCAAACCAAAGAGCTGGGGATGCAGCTCAGCTGTTTGTTACAGTGCTTGCCCAGCATGTGCGAAGCCCTAGGTTTGAGTCTCAGCATGAGACCCTGTCAAAAACAAAACAAAACAAAAACGAAGAAACAAAACCTAAACCTAGATACTCTAAGTCCTCATGCCGCTATGTCCTTTATTATTCAATAATAGTGCTTAGTACAATGCAGCTTTTTTTCCTGATTATGTCTATATTGAGCAAAACAAATAAGTTCATTAAAAAAAAAAAAAAAAAAAGTACAGGACTAGGGCCAGCAATATGGCTCAGCAGATAAAGGCACCTGACACCAACCTGAGTTCAAACACTGAAACCCACATGGAGGAAGGAGAAAAAAGGTGTTCTCTGACCTCCACACATGTGCTGTGGCAGGTGTGTGTGGACACACAAAATAAATGTAATTTAAAAAATCTACAGAACTATAGAAAAACCAATATAAAGGAGAAAAATAAATTTTTGCTATATTAAAAAGCAATAGTCTTTAAAATTGGAAGTTGGATGGCAGCATGCAATAAACTACATATTTTATAATATATATTTTATTGTATTTTTTTAACTACATTAAAAGTAAACTTTTTGGAAATAATAGCATGCTAGATAATAATACCCAATGTACTCACAAAAATGAAAAATTGGATGGAATCAGGCATGTGATGCACACCTTTAATCCCAGTATTCAGGAGGCAGAGGCAGGGAGATTTTGTGAGTTAGAGGCCAGCCTGGTCTACCTAGTGAGTTCCAGGACATCCAGGACTACCTAGAGAGATCCTCTGTCAAAACAAACAAACAAACAAACAAACAAACAAACAAACAGAGTGGATGGGATTAAAACATATTAAGTTTTGCCATTCATTTAAGCCATTCATGGTCATATATTTTGAAAGTTTGATGGTTCTGCTGCATGAAGTATATATGTAATAAAATAGAGAATTATGAAAATAACTTTCTTCTAGGAAAATCTTGGGAATCTTTAAAATAAAAAGTTGGGTAAATTTGGGGGCTGGAAAGATGGCTCATGGTTAAGAGCACTGGCTGTTCTTGCAGAAGACCCATGTTCGAATTCCAGCACCGAAATGGAGGCTAACAACCACCTGTAACTCCAGTTCCAGGGGATCCGCCACCCTCTTCTGTCTTCTGAGGGCACTGCATGACACACTTATACACATGCAAGCATAACACTCATACACATTAAAAAAAAAAAAAAAATAAGGGCCAGGCGTGGTGGCGCATGCCTTTAATCCCAGCACTTGGGAGGCAGAGGCAGGCAGATCTCTGTGAGTTCGAGGCCAGCCTGGTCTACATAGTGAGTTCCAGGACAGCTGGGGCTACAGAGAGACCCTGTCTCAAAAAGACCAAAAAAAAAAAAAAAAAGGTAAATTCAAATATTAAATTTTACCCATAAGCCTCTGGACAATTTTACCTTCAACTTTGAACTTAAGGCATAGTATTTAAACCTCAAGTGTTATGATATCCCATTTCTCTACAGGTTTGGGTCTGAAAAATAAACTTTGCGTGTGTGCATGTGTTTTGAGAAAAGGTCTCAAGTAACCCAGGCTGGTCTCAGACTCTTTATGGGGTTAGGATGGTCTTGAACTCCCGATTCTCCTGGCTCTACCTCTTAAGTACTAGGATTACAAGTATGCGTCACAATACCTGGTTCAAATTTGTTTTAGTTTTGTTTTATTGCAGGTTCTCATTTAGCCCAGGCTGGTCTTGAACTCCTGATCCTCCTGCTTCCACCTCCCCCCAAGGTCTGAGATTACAGGTATGTGCCACCGTTATTATTATTATTGTTATCATTTGAGATAGGGTCTCATGTAGCCCAGGCTGGCCTCAAATGTCCTATGTAGCCAAGCTATGTGGTCATGAACTTCTGATTTCCCGTTTCCACCTCCCAAGGACTAGGATTACAGGCATGAAACACCTCACCCAGCTGCTGTTTTGATTCTAACAACTAGAGCCTTTTATTCAAACTTAATAAACAATAAAAAACAAACCAAAATACTGAAAATAGCTGGGATCCATGGATATAATTATTAGTAGACAAGCATGGGACTGGAAGCAAATTAATGGAGTGTAAGAATGTTGTTTGCACACATGTATTTAAAGCATAGTTCCAACACCAACACGCTCTCTCCACTGATGGCTGTTTGGCTATTTTGATGACAGGAAGAAACAAGATGAAAATTAATATAGTCCTGACAACATAGTAAAAATATCTTTGATATATTTAAAAACAACTAGATTTCATCAAAATGAAATGCAAGACAATCTGAAACATCACCTACTTTTGCTGATGCCTTGTTTACATGTATTACAGTTGATACTTTGGCTCTGCCCATGTGTCTTTAAGTGGCTGGTGATATATGCGGCACTGAGGAGCTTCCCACAGATGTTACATGATACCTTGCCTTCGTGGCGCACCATGTGTGTCCGTAGTCTGTCTTTGGTGGCAAAGGCAGCAGTGCACGTCTGCATGAGGGAGGAAAACTTTTTTTAAATATAGACTATCCTGTTCAACTCATTTTAAAGTACATATATTCTACACATTACCCTACCCACATCATCAAGCTGACTGAATGAGTTGAATTTTCATTGCATGTGTTACTAAGAATCATAGATCACACTAAAACATCTGGTGAATTTTAGACTCTTCCATTTGAGGAAGAAAATATATCAACACAGAATAGTGAAAAGATGCCAGGCTTACACTCAGTTAAACAAGGATTTAGGGCTGAGGTATAGCTCAGTGATAAAGTACCCGCCTCATGGGTTCAATCCCCAGCACTGCAAGAACAAACCAAGACAAGACAAACAAAACCCTGGATTTAAATTGAGTTTCACAAATTCTAAACAGTGTAATGTTGAACAAGACACTGATGTTAATCTATAGGCTAGGGATAATAATATCTATCACAAAATTACTGATGGATTAAGAGCCTGGCACACACACAAGGCACCCACTCTAGGGCACTAGTTTTCTTCCAATTAGATTTTTCTTAGAAGTCAAGTAATGCGTGGTGGCACACCCCTTTAATCCCAGCACTGGGAGGCAGAGGTGGGCAGATCTCTGTGAGTTCAAGGCCAGCCTGGTCTGCATAGCGAGTTCCAGGCCAGCTGGGGTTACAAGGAGACTCTGCCTCAAAAAGATGCCCCCCCCAAAAGAGGTCAAGTCATTTACTTAATAAAATCAGTCATTAACAAACAACTGAAAACACTAAACAACCTCTAGCCACAAACTAGGATTAGTAATGCCTAATATAGTCATTTGACTTAGCAAACTTAACTTCATTTTCACAGTTTATGTCAAATAAAATCACTAATCTGAATGTATTTTCAAATTTTCCAGTTTGATAACAGCAGACAAAAATCTAGCCAATCCTAATGGCTGGAAAAAAATCTGCTTTCTCCTATTTACATTTAAAATATACTTATCTATCAACCTAGAAAGTAACTTAAAACTCTTTATTCTTTTAATAATTTCAAATATACAACAACCTTTGTGTGACTATGAATTTTTCCCCTTACACCAAAAAGATGTCATTGCCCAAGGAAAGGGAATAGTTAAAGAGAAATAAGACACTTACTTTTTTTTTTTTTTTTTTAAATCTTTTTGAGACAGGGTCTCCGTGCAGCCCCAGCTGTCCTGGAACTCACTATGTAGACCAGGCTGGCCTTGAACTCACAGAGATCCGCCTGCCTCTGCCTCCCGAGTGCTGGGATTAAAGGCGTGCGCCACCACGCCCGACCACACTTACAGTTTTAAACCATCTTGTATTATAGAAACACAGTCTTCTATTTTATAAAACTAGAATTCAAATGGACCACATTCACTTCAGTCAATGACTTGAAGACTATTTAAGGACCAAGAGATCTGATTGTCTCAGACCTTCTGGATAATGTGCATTAAGTGCTATGCTAAGGATAAGTCATTTTAACTCTTACTTGGCATTTGAAGGGTCTTTCTGTTGAGTGCACATGTTTTACGTGACAGCTTAAGTGGTCAGGCCTGTGAAAGAGAGTTTTAAACAGAAGATGTAATGGAATACAGAGAGAAACTACTTATGTGATGCTGCACGCTTGGCAGATTACAGGGAGCACTTTGCAGAAAGCTAGCAGAATCACAACTCCTCCCCACCCTCACTGCAGTCTCTTTACCTCTCCTACCGTAAACAGAAGCCTTACTTCTTCACCGGTTAATTGAACAGGTAAACATCTAATCATATTAGGTCTTAAACACTCAAAGTTTTAGTTCTAACACCAGGAATAACTTCCACTATGTTAACTAATAGGTTTTTTTTTTTTTTAAGATGAAACAGTACCCACATAAAAATGGGAAAAATCCCCCTAAAAGTTGTATCAAGAGTATCTAGGGTCATCCCAAATAACAGGAAATAGTTCTTTCACTTGCACAGTGAACCTCACTCACATCTGGTTCTCCAACTGACTGGAAACCAGTGAGGTTTGTAGTGATAAGAATTCATTTGCCAATGAATGCCCAAGCCCACCAAGTTACTTCCTTAATGACATAACGAGTCAACTGCTATGTCACCACTTTCAAACATATCAAAGAGGAGTTAGACCTAAATGCCCAATATTTATCACCAACCTTCTCTAATAACACAGGCTGCTTACATCTCTTCTCATATAACCTAGATCACACAGACAAAACTGAAGTTCACTGATACTATAATGAAAAAAACAAAGCAAAATGCAGTACCTTGAGAAGCCTTTCCCACAAACACTGCAAGTATAGGGTTTGGTGATGCCTCCTTCATGAGACCTCACATGGTAAGTCATCCGGTCCTTCCTCTTGAAGCGCTGATTACAAATAGGACACTCAAAGGGCTTTTCGTCCGAATGGGAGAGCTTATGCCGATTGAGGTGGTACACATCCCGGAAGGCCTTCCCACACATCTCGCAAGCGTGGTTCTTCTTCACAGGCTTACTGGGTTTCTTGACAGACTGGGTCACAGGCATAGCTGTGGTGCTGGCGCTGCTACTGGGGTTGGTGCCGGAGGAAGATGTAGTGACTGTTGACAAGATGCCTGCAATGGTTGAAACCAACGAAGTTCGGCTGCTGTCCCCAGCGATGGTGGAGATAAGGGGAACCACTGTGGTGGGGGTTTTCTTTGCCCGAGACACCAACTTGATCCCTGTGTGGCAGGACTGATGGCGCCTCAGGTGATAGCTGTCCCTGAATGCTTTACTGCAGTAAGTGCACACAAATGAAGTTTTGGGTTTTTCTTTTTTAATCCCAATAGCATCCTTTAATGTTTCTGGTGCAGCCTGAGGTTTCTGAGTTATTGGTATTGGAAGCAACGGTTTCTGATCAGGGGGCTCCACAGCAGAACTCAGGAGGGGCAACAAGCTGTTCTGTGCTGCTTGTTGTTGGTGATGGGAGGCTTCGTGGGCCTAAAACCAAACATTTACACTTGAGAAACTGAGCCTCTTACAAGGATCTTAACAATTCAACATGCTCCAGATGAGAGAACAGGAAAAAACAGTCCAGGAGCCTGTAAGCGACTCTCTATAGCAGAGATGCAGCAACCACCTACTCTCAGAGCTCCCAATACAAAAGACTGAAAATCACTGCAGATCAAAACTTCTGTATCTACAAGCTGACAGTGATCTTACTTTCAAACAGCTGACTAAACTATACACTACCCAGGCTCACAAGGGCTATACCAGCTGAAAAACACCAGTGTGTTTTAGTCTGTCAATACTGAAACCAAGTTTAAACAACTTGTCAAAAAAAAAAAAATTACACTCCAGACTTAAGTATTTAACAACACCTTAGACTGCAGCAACACACAAACTCTCTCATATACAAGACCAACAAAATCATCTACTTTATTACCCAGGACAGAAAAAGTACCCTCTCTATCTGAAGAAAACACCTAGTGATCGAGAAAGGGGCTGCTACTAAGTAAAAGGACTGTAGCTCTCTGAATATATATGCTAATTGTTAAGCTTACTCTTAAAATTCATCACTTAACTCTACTAAATGAGTTGGCTGAAATGAAACCTGCTATTAATCTACTGGGAAGGCACCTGTGAAGATGGCAAAAACACGTGTCAGTCATTTCTCAGATCATGTGATCTTCCACTTAAGAGTCTGTATCCTTTAGGAATACTAACTAGTAAAAGAAAAAGCAACGACAACCACACTCATGTCTATCTTCTTCCAGAAGGTTTTCATAAATTATTAGATACATAATGCTATAATGTGTTTCTCTATTCCTAAATAAGAAACTGGACCACTATCTGGAAATGTTAGAAAATAATGGAAAAAGTTCTTGAAATAGCTCTTCATAATATTTTGTTCTTTATCAACATTTTTGAAACCCTCGACAGTGAGTCCAAGCCCCTACGCTTGAGTTCTGTAATCCTAAAAAACACAAAAACAAAACCAAAACACACCATGCTAAGAGTTTCAAATATTTAAGCATACAATGGTCCCAGGAAGAGTCTATCCCGACATCTTAGACACTAGTGGTTTTTTTGTTTGTTGGTTTCTTTTGTTTTGTTTTACCCTCTACACTCTATAATCATTTGATTAGCTAAGTTGATTGAAGAAGAAAACTGTTTAGTTTGTTTAAAGAAAGCCCTAAGGAAACCCACACAAGCTCCTCCCCATGGATCTATCTCACATTTCTCTATGTTTACTTAATGACAGCACAACAGCCAGGCCTGAAACAACTCACTCCTAAAAGGTTAGGAGGTGAGGTATCCAAAGGTAGTGCTTTGAATTTAACAGCTTTTATTTAAATACACTTCAGATTTTGGAAGGACACTCAGAAGCTGTATGGTCTCTTATGGGTATCTTTCTAGATTTAATGTTCATACTGAATTATAGTTCACTCTTCATCTAATTTGTGGGGCTCCTATAACTATTGTGGTCTACCTACCCAGGTGACATCAGTAGAACTATAAAATTTGGCCTCTAATCTCACCCCTTTTCTACCAAGTTTCCATACAGAATACAAACAGTTAACAGTTGAAGACAACTCAAGATGTTCAATTTCAAAGACTAACAGATCAGATAGTATGGAATGCAAATCTTCTGGACAAAGTGCAAACTTAAAATGTTTTGAGGGATTTTTCACCTAAACAACCATTAGTAGGATGGAGTACTAAAAGCAATTACTACCATTTCACCAATTCAGATGTCTGTGGCAACATAACTGTATTTTTACAGCATTGCTGATGCTCATTCTCACACAAGGGTCACACCAGGTCCCTGTTTCTTGAGTGAAATGCTGTAGAAACACTACAAGAATCACTCTCTGAAGATTTCTAGGATCCTGGAACTTCTCTAGGAAGCCTTCTAAGTGGGGAAGTTTTCCCAACTTGTTCTCTGGGGGAGAGAGAGAGTAAAGCAATAACCATGGCCTGCCTTCAGTGAAGTGATTTATTTCTGAAATATAAGTTCTGGGTAGGCTTTTATTTGACTAGCATCATCAAATAAAAGTTAAATTTTATCTTCTATCTCAAGTGCAAGGCCTTAGCCCTGCCCAAGCTTTGCTTTTTCTGGGGCTGGCAAAAAACAAAACAGAAATATTATTTCATCACCCAGGGTGGTAGGCTATGGAACCGTGAAATCTCCAGTGCCAGAGGGTAAAAGATTTTGTACTGAAACAAATTAGCATCAGTGAGTCATATCTTGAATGTCCTGTTAGGAGAATCATCCATCAAACGTTTTAATAGCTATGGCTTTCACTTTCCACCAGGTTATCTGGAAGCAAGCAGGTTTTTAAAAATTGCTTTAAAATATACATTCAACAGGATGCTTCAAGAAAGAGAGTTCAAGTCTCCATTTCCCCAGTGAAAGTTTCTTAAAACTGTAATGGAATGTCTACTTGTACCTTCTTACAGAAAAGACTGACATATATATTATTTTTAACACATTGTCCTCAACTCTAAAGGATGTTTTCCAACATTTTTCACTGGACACACTGCAAACTCAGGATCAAATATTAGCTTTCACATTTCTTCATCAGGTGGAAAAAAATTTAATAGGCGGGCAACGGCTTTATTCATGAAAAGAACAGTAAATTTAAAATGTATTCCACAAGATCTTCCAACTAGCTTCCCAAAGCTGAGTTATGGGTTTTTCCTTTACATAAGGAACTTGTTTTTCTTTTTTCAGTCTCCATTAAGTTTACAGATATTAGGTTTAGTATTGTTTAAAAGGTGTGAAATCACTTCTATGGCTCATCAATCCTCTACTGTAAAATGACCATTTGAGAACTTCATCTAGAAGGCCTTTACCATCTTTGCACCAATCCCCGTGCCGACTAGTTAAGTACAGTTCCTTTTCCAATGCATTCTTAAGTTGATTTATCACATTATCAAGCTCATCAAAGCTCAATAAAAACGATACCACATCAGGAGGAGAAAAGGGGAAGTTCAAGAGTTCCATTATCTTAAGAATTTTCAATTTTAGTTAAGTACACATTTATTTCCACTAATTACTTAAAAATCAAAATGCACACATTTGAAATTTATGTCTTACGAATGACAAACCAGTTTACACAACAGATAATTCTGAATTCTCCAATTTCCTACATTAACTCTACTGGGATGGCAACAGATAACAAGAAGGATAATCTTTTGAAAATTCTGCAATTGTTCCTAGTTAGTTCTCAGAGGTCTCAAGCGCCCAAGCTACGCATGCATTTGGGATTTCATTAAGTATTCACAGGAAAATAACTCAAAGAGGCAGGCGGGAAGGACTCACTTAAAAAGTGACGAGCTTCCAAACCTCCTCTGGTCCTTAAGTTTCTCTATGAGTTCATTACTACTGTCCACTAAAAGCTTCATTTGCAAACAGAAACGAAGCAGGGAAGGGGGAAAAATAAAGTTTCAGCCTACTTTAGCTCTTCCAAACTGGGGTCCCTCACTGCGTGCAAGAGCAGAGGTATGGCTAAAGTCAGAGTAACTTTTAAGTTTCTTGCAAGAGGCGAAGACCAATACCACGAAGAGTGACTCATCTGGGGGCACTGTAAGCGGACTTTGCGCTCCTCGCTGTCCGTCTCCCCCCGCGGCCAGAGCGGACGCTCGAGCGGCCGGCGAGCCAGAAGCGCTCCGGAGAAGGTCGGGCCTGTGGGAGTCGGGGCGCCCGCTGCTTCCCCGCCCCGCAGGGCCGGCCCGGGGATTCCCCGGGCGCCCGGGGACTGCGGGCGACCTGGACAGAGGCGCGGCGACCAGCGGCCGGGGCTTGGGAAGAAATGGAAAGGCGGGGGGAAAGTTTGGAGACGGGAGCAGCGCTCGCAGCACCCGGGCCGGGTAAAGCCGAGGGGGGCGGCGGAAAGGGGGAGTGGCGGGGAAGCCAGAGACCCGCTATTCGCGGGAGGTGGGAGGAGGGTCAGAAAGTCAACACAAGCGCACACACAAAAAGAGAGGAGGTGACGCGAAGGCGCGAGCCAAAGATGGATGGGGACTCGGAGCCGGACCCGGGGACCCCCTCGCTGCGCCGTGCGGCCCCGGCCAGGCGCGCGGCGGCCGAGTGGCCCGCGCTCTCCAGCCGCCCCGTGCCCTCCTTTCTCTGGGCCGCGGGTGCTGACAGCCACCGGCCTCCTCCCTTCCCCTTCGGGGCGGGAGGGGAGGGTGTGCGAGCGTGTGTGCTGGGGGGGCCCCGGGTTCGCCCCAAGGCCTGCTCTCTCCCCCGCACCCCGTGAGGCCGCCTCCTTTCACCTCGGCAGCCGGGCTCCGCCAGGGCGGGCGGGCGGAAAAACAAAGGGGGAT